GTACTGCCGAGTCCTTTAAAGCCAATGATCTTCACAACGCTGCCGAAAAGAAGAATAGAAGCTATGTAGAAAAGGTGTTTGGGCCAGTAAGTTCTAAGTGCTATTTTTGAAGATGTGCTCTGTAAGGGAATTGCTTGCTGTGCTCGTTTTGGCGTATGAGCACCAGTGCTGGTGGAGTAACTCATCATCGGCAGCGTGCATGCTCTGGGCGCTGCCTCTTCACCAGTCGGACCTGCCGAGCTCTGAAGAAACGGAATTTTTTGATCCTCTAGATGAAGGGATTCTGTGTCATGTTTATGTTCTCTGCTTGAAGAGTGTGTATATATATGTTTTACATAAAGATTTTGGTATGGAAAATTGAATACAAATTTGGTATTTCGTAAAATATTCTGAGCAGTTCGATTTGGGGTGTGCCGCACTAACGAGGTGTGCCACACTAACGAGCAAGTAGGTAAAGCAGAATATAGAAATTTGGTGAAATGCTCTTCCAGCAAAAAGGAGGCAGAATTTCTCTCCATGAACAAGCCTTGCAGCGGGGGGACCAGCCCGTCAGACTGCAGCCTCTGAGGATGCTCATCGGTTCTCCAGAAGGCGATGATGGGGCAGAGTTTAATTAGCCGCCGTTAATCCCCGAGTGTTTATGTTTGTATTACGCATTACGTAAATACGCCTTCTGCAACGTTCCGAGGGGAGCTGAACGGCGCACCCCACGTTTTAAGATGTAAGCATCCGATAGCAATTTCATCTTCACAGGTGATCACAGCGAAAGCTACTCATTTCTTCCTGTTGCAGCGTATAAAGGGGCCACTTCTGATCAAAGGGAAGGATAAAAAAATATAGCCGATAATACTGTAAAATGTTCTTCACGCAGCTGAAGCATAAACTGGAACGGCAGAAACAAAATTGCCGTGCCCGGGGTCTGTAGTATTTATTTTTAAAAAGCCTGTTACATACATTTCTGCTAGGTTGTTCTAGCAAGCCCTGATGTCTGATTTCCTTGGAAAAATCATCGTTTTTTCCTTAAAAAAAGTCACTTAGTCCTGTGCGTTTTGTAAAGGGGGGTTATTTCTGCCAGCATTTTATCTTTTTGGTTGCAAAAACCAAATGATTTAATTACTCTTCAGCTGGTGGAGAAGCCTTCCTTAAGCAACAGTCTTTCAAGCTATTAAGCATCGGATGTTTCAAAGTAGTTTTGGTGCTGAAGATGCAAAGCGAATGCGATGGCAGAGAAAAATGAAACGGCGATCCCGTGGTTGCGATGAAGGTCGGACTGCGGCGTGGAAGTGCGTGGCGCGAAAGGCGCCCCGAGCCTTGGCCGCTACCCCGCGCAGCCCAGCCCCGAGACCAGCACGTGGCGATTCCTGCTAGAGACAAATTAATTAAGCGGTGTTAATTAATCAGCCAAGAGGCTGATTTAAAGCATGAATGTAAAAGCAGTTACAAAATTCAGGAGTTCGTTGATAGAACGTCCAAGTCGGGGAGGGGAACTGGGCTCTTCCACTTACTGCCCACCGCGGCTGGGGAAGGAGAGGGAGGACGAGTCTCGCCTTCTGCTGGGCTTTTGCTGTGGCGTAATGGTTATGATTATTGGTACGTGTGGGGTGTTTCCTTTCTTTCCGCACACATTTTCCTACAGAGGCACTCTGTGCCTTATTTCTGCGTGCTCGTGTATGAGATGATGCAATCTTTTTCCTTAAAATTCAAAATTGTACAAATACGTCTCAAAACTAGGCTCTAATAATAGGTAAGAGATGCCCCGTCAGGGCTGGGATGCTACATTTTTCAAGATGGATTTTTTTTATTTTTTTTTATTTGGGCACTGGAGGTTGATTGATTTACTTCCCTCCAGGGATGGGATTATGTTGTGGCGTGCCCGGTAGGTAAAGCTAAATAAAAAAAGAAAAGAAGTGGGTTAGAATTAGTTTAATATACACATTCCTTAAATATTTTCAGTAGCTATAAAAGTGTCTTCCAAACCTTTTCTGTCTGCAGAATCTCGCGGGGAATCTGGTGCTACGCTTTGCGACCCTGGCGTCAGTCCCTTGGGAACGGTCATTTATTGCCATCGCCGTTACAACCAAAAGCTGCGAGTGTGGGGGTGGGATGGCAGGGGTAGGGGAACGGTTGGACTCAATGATCTCAAAGGTCTTTTCCAACCAAAGTGATTCTGTGATTCTATGATTCAACACAAAGGGAAAACATTTTGATGGGTCAAAGCTTTTTGTTTCCTCTTTGGTTTTAGTATTCACTAAAACTTTTGACTTAGCGGCAGCAGAAGCACTCCCAAAGTATTAAACGGAATACATCTCCTGCTTTCTTCTGCTGGCTTGAGAGATCGTGGCTATCCCTGAGTCCTCCTCTGGTCCCCATTACAACTGCGAGTTATTTAAAATACGAGCCTGGAGGGGAGTTCAGGTACATTGAAGCCTGACCCCGCTGTCCCTTACCTGTGGGTTTGGGCTGGGAGGGGCTGCTCCTGCTGGGGACGCGCAGCTTTCCGGGGGGTCAGGACTCAGCTCTTTCCATTGGGGGCGGAAAAAAACCTGGAGGCAACAAGGGCTGGAAAATCTTGGACCTCTCCTAGTTGGGGGGTTTGCTGAATTCTTTGCAACGTTTGGGCAGCCTCTGCTTGTGAGGACCGGTCTTCCCCTTACCGCTGCGGGGGGATGGAGTTGGTACTGCCGAGTCCTTTAAAGCCAATGATCTTCACAACGCTGCCGAAAAGAAGAATAGAAGCTATGTAGAAAAGGTGTTTGGGCCAGTAAGTTCTAAGTGCTATTTTTGAAGATGTGCTCTGTAAGGGAATTGCTTGCTGTGCTCGTTTTGGCGTATGAGCACCAGTGCTGGTGGAGTAACTCATCATCGGCAGCGTGCATGCTCTGGGCGCTGCCTCTTCACCAGTCGGACCTGCCGAGCTCTGAAGAAACGGAATTTTTTGATCCTCTAGATGAAGGGATTCTGTGTCATGTTTATGTTCTCTGCTTGAAGAGTGTGTATATATATGTTTTACATAAAGATTTTGGTATGGAAAATTGAATACAAATTTGGTATTTCGTAAAATATTCTGAGCAGTTCGATTTGGGGTGTGCCGCACTAACGAGGTGTGCCACACTAACGAGCAAGTAGGTAAAGCAGAATATAGAAATTTGGTGAAATGCTCTTCCAGCAAAAAGGAGGCAGAATTTCTCTCCATGAACAAGCCTTGCAGCGGGGGGACCAGCCCGTCAGACTGCAGCCTCTGAGGATGCTCATCGGTTCTCCAGAAGGCGATGATGGGGCAGAGTTTAATTAGCCGCCGTTAATCCCCGAGTGTTTATGTTTGTATTACGCATTACGTAAATACGCCTTCTGCAACGTTCCGAGGGGAGCTGAACAGCGCACCCCACGTTTTAAGATTTAAGCATCCGATAGCAATTTCATCTTCACAGGTGATCACAGCGAAAGCTACTCATTTCTTCCTGTTGCAGCGTATAAAGGGGCCACTTCTGATCAAAGGGAAGGATAAAAAAATATAGCCGATAATACTGTAAAATGTTCTTCACGCAGCTGAAGCATAAACTGGAACGGCAGAAACAAAATTGCCGTGCCTAGGGTCTGTAGTATTTATTTTTAAAAAGCCTGTTACATACATTTCTGCTAGGTTGTTCTAGCAAGCCCTGATGTCTGATTTCCTTGGAAAAATCATCGTTTTTTCCTTAAAAAAAGTCACTTAGTCCTGTGCGTTTTGTAAAGGGGGGTTATTTCTGCCAGCATTTTATCTTTTTGGTTGCAAAAACCAAATGATTTAATTACTCTTCAGCTGGTGGAGAAGCCTTCCTTAAGCAACAGTCTTTCAAGCTATTAAGCATCGGATGTTTCAAAGTAGTTTTGGTGCTGAAGATGCAAAGCGAATGCGATGGCAGAGAAAAATGAAACGGCGATCCCGTGGTTGCGATGAAGGTCGGACTGCGGCGTGGAAGTGCGTGGCGCGAAAGGCGCCCCGAGCCTTGGCCGCTACCCCGCGCAGCCCAGCCCCGAGACCAGCACGTGGCGATTCCTGCTAGAGACAAATTAATTAAGCGGTGTTAATTAATCAGCCAAGAGGCTGATTTAAAGCATGAATGTAAAAGCAGTTACAAAATTCAGGAGTTCGTTGATAGAACGTCCAAGTCGGGGAGGGGAACTGGGCTCTTCCACTTACTGCCCACCGCGGCTGGGGAAGGAGAGGGAGGACGAGTCTCGCCTTCTGCTGGGCTTTTGCTGTGGCGTAATGGTTATGATTATTGGTACGTGTGGGGTGTTTCCTTTCTTTCCGCACACATTTTCCTACAGAGGCACTCTGTGCCTTATTTCTGCGTGCTCGTGTATGAGATGATGCAATCTTTTTCCTTAAAATTCAAAATTGTACAAATACGTCTCAAAACTAGGCTCTAATAATAGGTAAGAGATGCCCCGTCAGGGCTTAGATGCTACATTTTTCAAGATGGATTTTTTTTATTTTTTTTTATTTGGGCACTGGAGGTTGATTGATTTACTTCCCTCCAGGGATGGGATTATGTTGTGGCGTGCCCGGTAGGTAAAGCTAAATAAAAAAAGAAAAGAAGTGGGTTAGAATTAGTTTAATATACACATTCCTTAAATATTTTCAGTAGCTATAAAAGTGTCTTCCAAACCTTTTCTGTCTGCAGAATCTCGCGGGGAATCTGGTGCTACGCTTTGCGACCCTGGCGTCAGTCCCTTGGGAACGGTCATTTATTGCCATCGCCGTTACAACCAAAAGCTGCGAGTGAACAAATCCGGGGTTTTTAATGACCTTAGGGAGGATGTAGGTATAAATTCAGATCCAGATAGAGACAAAAAGTCCTCACAGTGGAGCAGAGAGAAAATGGTGATGCGTTACAATTTATTTATTTTTTTTTAATGTTCCTCGCTGGACGCCAAAGCCTGCGGATCCCTGTTGGCGAGGGAGGGAACCGCCGCCCACGCGCTAAAAGCCGCCCTCTCGCGCTCCTGTCTTACAGCCGTTATCTCCCGAAACCAAGAAGGGCCCGGCGAGATGGGGAAGGCTGTGCTCATTCCGAAGGACGACCAGGAGAAGATGAAAGAGCTGTTCAAAATCAACCAGTTCAACCTCATGGCCAGCGACCTGATTGCCCTGAACCGAAGTTTGCCGGACGTGAGATTGGATGGGTGAGTCCCCGCCGGGCCGCGGAGGCGGTCTCAGGGTTAATTAACGGGCGTTATTAGCCGTGATTGCCTAAGGAAGCTCTTTGAAAACGCCGGGGGTTTGCTGGTTCTAGGTCTGGCTGCTGATGCCAGCTTCCTTAGGAAAAGCGTTACCGCGTCGCAAACGCGTTGTCCCGTGCCATTTATTTGTGAGCAGCTGAAAACGGCCCACGTGGAGCCACCGCTTTACCTTGCAGCACCTAACAAAATGCCCCCTGGTGCGTCTTATCACCTGGAATGACTTAAATGTTTTTCCTTCAGGGAAAGCTTTATTTCTGAGGTTTTAAAATGATAAAAAATATCAAAGTCTACTTTAGAAATTTTCATAATTATGCTGTCAGCATTTAAAAATCGACATTTTAACGCTGATAAAGAGAAAATACCACCACTACCAAAAGCTACCCGCGGGATGTATTTTTCTTTTAGCTTTATCCGCAGATGTTTCCAGAATAATCAGAATTTTATAGAACATCTTTCAAAATGTTTTGCAACGATATAAAACCTGAAGGGGGCTTTGCGGTGGGGGTTTTGTTGTGTCTTTAAGGCTAAGTGACATATAACCCTGGGTTTTGAGCGAAGCCTGAGGTGTGCGTGGTGCCTTGGAGGCTGGAAGAGCCCGGGGGAGCGTTTCACCAAGTCCATTGAATGATTTTTAATGGAATTTACAGCTTAATTTTTCCAGTCGCAGCAGCGGGCTTCTGTTTCCTCGTGTATTTGATGTGCAAGTCCCAATGTGCGTGCTCGTCTCCGTTTAACTAGGGATTCCGGTCGCTGTCTACGGATCCTGTGACGAGTTATGGCTACTTAAAAAAAAGAAAGTCCCGGTCTGCTGTGTATGTTGTTTCCAGCAGTCAGAGAACTTTCTACTTCATTTTTATAGAAACCTAGTGTTGACTGAATTTTATCTTTATCCAGTTTGGTTTTTTCCCCCTGTTCTCCTTCAGCTACATAAACGGTATGATTCTTACAACAAATAAAAATTTAGAGAAACATAAGCACAGCTGAATATTTACGAGTGGGCAGGTCTTTAACATCTCCCCTTGCTTCTGCTTTTTAAGCGGAGTTGTCACTTAGCTGAGATCCTGCTCATTGTGCTTTGTTTGAAATGGAATTCTTCACGTTCCCATGAAATGTAAAATGAAATAAATACCTCGTTCCCTGGCTTTTCCTCATAAATGCCTGCAAAGAACAGAAGTAGAAGCGCTGCTTCAGCCGTAGAGCTTGTTCGGCAGCAGCGGAGGCGACGCTGCTCCGTGGCGTGATCTTTTGTCATCCGGCGATGCCAAGTTTCCGTAAAACGCCACCTCGGCTTGTGGCCAGCAAAGACACGTTTCACGCAGCGGAACCATTGGGAAAGCTTTATCGCTCATTGCTTGCCTGTTTTTTATTCCTTGCCCTTTCCGAGACTGCCGAGGGGGGTCGCGGCGAGGTGGTGGAGCTGGCTTCGGTATCGGAGCGATTCCCGCGGGCACGGGGCATCGTACGGGCTTTCTGGGGAGCGAGGAGGGTGCGACGCGATGGCTGCAGGGCCGGGGTTTCCCTTGCTGTGCCCTAACGTTGCCGTTGCCTTGCACCGTGGCGCCCTTGGCCGGGGGCCCAGCGCCCGTTTCAGCGACGCGAGTCGCAGCCGCTTCGGCGTGACGTGCTCCGCGCTCGCGGGGCCTTTGCAGAGGAACAGGACCCGAGCGTGGCACGCCCCGGGACGAGGGGGCACAGGCGAAGCCCCCGGCCGCTGTCGGAAAGCTTTGTCCTTTCCCTTGGGAGCAAGCGTCGAAAAGAAAGCGCATAGTGCAAAACCAGGTAAGACGTTCAGCTTGGCGAGCAATTCTGAGCTGTTTAATACTGGGAGAAATCCATCTGAATGCATCTCCCGGGTGAAAAGTTCTGTATCTTTTGTTGAAAGGACAGAAAGTGTTACGGGATGTGGAAAACCCCCCAATTTTCTCATTTTCCTCTTCAGACAGATGCTTTCTCTACATCTTCTGTCTTGAGGGGGTATTAAATTATTCCGAAAGCCAACTTATAATGGTTTGCTATTAAGGAAGAATATGATTTTATGGTTATAATACTCAGCATCTGAATTCATATATGCATATATCTTCAGCATATTGGCATGGGGGACAGAGGCATCCGATTTGTATTGGGTGTCTAACTTATGCTACCTTTCACATTAGAAATGCAAGTTTTCTTCAGAGTCCGGGAAGTTTTCTGTGGTCAAATTAGATGAACAGAAGAAAAGGGGAAAAAAAAACCAACAAAGAATTCTTGCTGGATGTGCTGTCTAGTTGGAAATTCATCACAACCTGTACTTTGTATGCTGCTGTGTTACGAGTAATCGTGAGCTGATGGAAAGATCGGTGTTACCACGGTATAAATGCATTAAATCAGTGAATTGGCTGTGGAGCAGCCGCACTCCGTGCAGCAGAAAGCTGGAGGCCAGAGAGACGAAACTTTGCTGGGAGATTGTCGGGGTGCCGTTGGCTGGGCAGAAGGGGAGCAGGACGGGGTGTATTGGGTTTGTGGGGCAAGGTCTTGGTAGTGGGGGGGGCTACAGGGGTGGCTGGTGCCGTGCGTGGGGACGGGGCTCCGCGTCGCCGCTGAGGTACGCGCGCTGGGAAATGGCCAAGCTGCTCTCCAGTTCTGTGCCGGGGATGGAGGGAGTGAAGGACATTTGTACAGGACTAGTTAACTCTTGGTATGACTTGACCTTTTTATGGTATCCATCGCATGTCAACATTTCGCTGCGTGCAAGTGGTGTTTTTGCCTTTCTTGAACGTATGCCATGCTATTAAGTCATGGTCTCCATTCTGGCTGCCTGCGCAAGCCATTAAAAGGATTCCTGTGCCATCGGGGTTGTGCAGGGGTCCCTGGGGTTGGAGGGGACGCGCAGCTACTGGCAGCGTCCTGAGCTCTGCTCCTCCTCTGCCTTGCACAAGATGTCCCTGACAAACGCAGCGACTTTCAGTCTTGGGCTGGTTTAAGGTTGAGAAGTTGGAGAAGCGTGGGAACGCTGGGGGTGTTCAGCCTGGAGCAGAGGAGGCTGAGGGGAGCCCTCATCACTCCCTACAACTGCCTGAGAGGAGGGGGGAGCCGGGGGGGTCGGGCTCTGCTCCCAGGGAAGGGGCGATGGGACGAGGGGCACCGGCCTCAAGTTGTGCCAGGGCAGGGTGAGGTTGGCCATGGGGAACAATTCCTTCCCCTTGGGGCTGTCAGGGGCTGGAAGGGGCTGCCCAGGGAAGGGGTCGAGTCCCCAGCCCTGGGGGGATTTAACAGCCGGGCAGAGGCGGTGCTGAGGGCCAGGGGTTGGGGGTAGGATGGCAGGGGGAGGGGAATGGTTGGGCTGGGGGAGCTTAAAGGGCTTTGCCAACCCAAACCATTCTGTGATTCTGTGACTGCCTTCTCAGTGATGTCCTCTTCCTGCTCCCGGTGGTGCCCAGGCTTAAAGCAGAAAATGATGCGTTTGACTTCCCACACCCTGCCTTCAATGACAATAAAACCTCAGCCCACCCATCAGTCCCATGTTTAGAAGGTTTTATGATTTCCAACTGTGGTTTAACCCTAAACGCAAAGCGTCATCTCCTGGCAAGGTTTCCCACTGCCTTTATGTCTTTACTAGAATTATTTAGATTTGTGCAATATGATGTTATGTGCATGTAGCAAACGAATGCCTACAAATAGATGTCAGAATTCTGATAAGAAACAAACAGCCTGAGAAAAAGAAGAGTCTTGTTGCAATTTCTCACTCTAGAAATTGATTCTTCAGTTATGCTACAGCACATTTATTGGCCACGTCGTTGGGAAGAGGGCGGGGAAGGGGGAGTAGTACACTCACATGGGAGCTTTTTCATTGTCGTGGGGGTATATATATATATTTTATGTGTGTTATTTTCTATGTATTTTGTATGTATATTATATAAATATAAAATTAATCCATTCCCATTCTGTTCCTCTTCTGGCCTTCCTCATTCCATTTCCCTCTTCAATCCTCGCTGCACTTCTTGTGCACGTGGGCAGTTCTATCCTGTCCTCTGGATGGGGGTCTCCAGGTTCCTCTCGCTTTGCCAAGGCTGTTGCTCTTTGCGTGCACTCTGGGGAGTCAGTCTGCAGAGTGCAGACTTGGGGTAAGGTGCTCGTCGGTCCTTCCTTCTCTCCTCCGCAGCTTGGTACTCCTGTCCCGCGGTGGCAGGTAGCACCCGGGCTCTCACTGGTGGCAGTCGTTGCTGCTGGTGTGCCTTCCAATGATCAAAGTAGTGCCATGGCAAGTGGAGGAGGGTGTGTGTGTGTGTCAGAAGAGTCTAAATAAGAAATGCATATTTAAGAGACGAGGAAAAAAATCAGAGGGGATCTTAATTTTTTTTTCACACTAGCAGATGAAAGAGCTCCTGAAACCTTTTATGACTCTGTTTCTGATTAAATGTGTGATGCCTGTAAGCTAATTCTGGGTCTGTGCTGCAACCATTGTACTTGTGTTTGTAAGACGAGGGAGATTTTTTTTCCCTAAGGAAAAATGTTGGATTTCTGGAGAAAAAAAAAAAAAGTTTTGTTTTATGAGTTGCAGGAAGACAGGGTTGGTTGTTGCCTGAGGAGAAATTCCCTGTACGGTTCTGTGAAACAAGGCGTCTGGCTCTTGTCTCATCCTTCTCCCAAAGGGGGATGTTAGTGACTGGACCTGATGTGGTGCCCCGACCCCCGTGAGGTCAATGGGAGGTTGCTCCGACTTCCGTAGGAATGAGTTCTCTCATCGGGAGACCCCAAAATCCACCTCCTGTGTGCTGTAAGGGAACAGTACGGCTGAATCCCGTCGCATCTCTGTTCCGGTGTTGATATTGAAATTCCGGCTAACGAAGGCGACTGTCACAGTTCAGCTTGCTTCCCATTCCGTCTAATGTCTACCAAAGAATGCCCCTCGATTGCTTGAGTTGGGCCGGTAATGGCCAACTTGAAGATTTTAATCAATGTCAGGT